ACCCAATGAGCCAGTTCCTCAGTTGACTGTTTCCCTGGATGCAGCTTGGCAATGTGAGCTAACTTTTGGCAAGTTGAAGGTTAGCAGGTAAGATTGAGTTAGGGTGAGTACCTACCTATAACTGGGTGCTACTGCTATGCAGGTCTTGGGTAGGCTGCAAATATGTGTGATGATTGAGGCTAGGTCAGCTGTCAGGCTAGTCAGGAGTATGCTCATTGCTCAGGTCACATTTTTATGGACACTTCAACTTGGCAAATTAAAAAACTAACAATCTAATCTAAGCTAACCCGACTAAACATACACAACTACTGACTATAGGAATTAAGCACCTACCTACTTGTGCATACATCTCATACCATGTCAAAGTAGAGTTCCTTGGTGGAAGATTACCAGTACTTTTTATTACCAGATCAGTACTTTTTATCCCAGCCCTGTGAAGAAAACTAATACTTCAAAGCTCTGAGTCACTGCTGGCCATCCACAGGAAGAAACGCTGAGACTGAGAGCTTTGCCATTGTATATTGGACCAATAATCACTATCACGAATGACTATGAACACATTATATGATCACATCGTTGCATGGATTGTCACATTGACAATTCTACTATAATCCTTTTTTCAAGAAATACAGTGATGATTAACATCAAAATCAACATCAAGTGGATTTAGTGATCCAAGCTTTCTCCTCCAGTAGCAATAGAATGATCGCATGTTTCATTTGCCAGACACGAGTACCCGATGCACATTACAATCTGCATAGCATGAAGCATCTAAGCTCCCCAAGTCCATTCATTCTAGATTTTTAACTTGAAAGTTAGCACTAATTTATCTTGCTGTTGCAACTTATCATTCAATATCCATACCAATACATCAATATGCGCTCACCAGTCAACATTTTCTGGCATGATCCTGCTCAGCGTGCTCTTCAGTAGGTATTGCTCCAAGGTCTGCAATATTATAGCTTGTTTTTGGCCAATAAGCTCTTTTAATTTTACTTTTTCTTGCTGATATATGAGCCCGATCACCTTGCGTTTATCAACCAAAATTTCATAACTTGTTCAACTTGATATTGATATTGCTCAGGAGTCAGGACCTCTGTCAGCCTCCTGGATACTTCGGATTGTTTTCAGTCAACATGCTTCTTAAATATGATATAAGTCAATATTCAAAACATCCAACAAAACGACGTACAAGAGTAAGAAAACCACCAGATACACTAAAAAATGGCGTTGGAACAGAGCCAAGTGGTGCTTCATTTGTTTGTTTACAATGATTGTAGTGCTGATGTATTTTTAGGACTCTGAACGTCGGCTTATAAAAATGAAACGTTTTTACAAAAGTTGTAAGGCAAGTAATATTTAGCTGAAAGAACTAAAATTTTCAAAAGCCAAACACTATGAAATACATGAATCGGAACGAAAAAGTAACCCAAAAATCCAGCCTAATCACCGGCTCCTAAAACTGCAACAAAATCAGCACTTTTCCCCGCAACTCGTTGTCCAGACGTAAATATGCTGCCTGCTCACTGTTTACGACTGACTGCCACGGCCTTGGTGTGTTGTGGGCTCTGGTATTAACTGGATAATTCGCCAGCTGACGCCGTATGGTGGCGCTAGTGGAGCAGCACCATATGACGTCAGCAGAAAACACCGTGAGCAGCTATGAAATGGGAACGAGCACCACGGAAATATCGAAAGGTGATGGACATGTACTGACTTTGGTCATTCAAGTACCACCAACACCATACAAAAACCATATAATATTATCAAGACTGATTCTGGAATCGATTTGTTCGGGTATTTAAAACACACAAAAAATGTTTGTTACCGAATTCTGAAACAGTATAAGGATATTCTTGTTCCTTACTTTTGCCTTGTGGAGTACTTTTACTTGCTTTCTAGTGCGCCCATCACTATCTTGAAATCTGGATTGCAACGCTGTAGGAAAACTTTATTTCATTTGTCATTTCTTCCACTTTTGAGCAGTGATAATTTATTTGGGTTTATACATTCAATAATGAAGACGGCTCCTAACTTTTTAGGGATCTGCAGTGGCTCTGAGAGTAAAATCAGATATTTTCTAGAAACTTGAGGCCACTATTTTCTTATATGCTAGATAATATACAAATATTGACATGTAAAGAATGATACGGGTGTATAATTCTGCATAAATATCAATTCAAAGTATTTAAATTTTTCAAGAACCTTTTTAATTCTTCCATAATGACTTCTTTCAATACAAGCTGGAAGCAATTTCAATCAATAAAGCAGCACAAGGCAGTACATTGAGCTACAATGATCCATAACCAATCGGCACCTGCAATTTGATTGATCTTCGAGATGTACCCTGCCTGTTTCCTGACTTTCCCTTTTCGTTGTACTGGGTGAAGTGAATATTCTGTGAATATTCTTCTGACAGTCAGTTTTTAATCCTACATTATGTTGTCAATCAGATTTAATTGGTTCAAAAACCGTCGTAGTCCGTCTCATTCGCAGTCTACATCTCCACATGCGCACCCATACATGCTCAAAATTTTCACTACGTATGTACTATGTACCCTGCAGCGTATCCTGATGAAAAATGTTTTGTTGAAATCAGAGACACTTCCCAAGGTAGGCCATAGTACATGGCCATATATTTAAGTCAAAACAGATAAACAGATAAACACAATTCCAATCATCAAGTCAACCAGCATCGACAATCTGCACATAAGTTCTAAACCTATTGTAAGACTACTTTGTATTCAAACTTTGTATTGCAGAAGGGTGGAAGCTGCATGGAATTATGCGACAATTTCAGCGTGCATCCACGCTCGAAAGAGCAGGGTTAATTGTAACAATGTCAATACCATAATAACGTAATTGTAGGTGTTGTGATTCGGTTGTCTCTTGTCTGTGCTGGCCATTGCGCGGGCGGTCCAGCGGCGGAACTCGGCTTCGCCGCCGTGGCGCGCTGGCAGTTGCTTCTTCTTCTTCTTCTGCATCCCATTGCCAACCCGCTCAGGGGGGCGGCGGCGCAGGCGGGTCGAGCGGCGGCTCGGTCCGCCCAACATCCTCGATGAAGGTGACGACCTTCGTCGCCGGGCCGCCGAGGACGTCGACCAGGCGAGGGTCGACACCCCAGCGGCGGCGGCGGGCCGCCTCATAGGCCGGACAATCGGTCAGTAGGTGCGCCGCGCGGTCGGGCTCCCCGCACGCGGGGCATTCGTCGTCGGCTTCCGGGCCAATCTTGTGGAGCGTGTCACGGGTCAGCGGTGATGTGCCGGTCCTCAGCTGGGACAGCGTCACCGACCCCAGCGCGCCAGGGAGTCGTGGCCAGGCGTGGGGTCCGGGTGCGGGTGGGCAGCGGTTGCCCTCTGTCGCGACAGCTCCCGGACATGGCGCGTGACGGCGGCCCGCGCACTCGACAGGTCGATCGGTGCGCTGTCTTGGTCGCCCGCCGTGGCCTCGCCAGCCAGGAGGTCGGCGGTTTCGTTGCCGTCCAGCCCGGCATGGCCTGGCACCCACTGGAGCACCGTCTCGGTGCCGTTCTCGGTGAGGGTGCTCAGCACTCAGCAGCCTCCACACCTCGGCGGCCAGGGCCATGGTCTGGTTAGCTGGGCCGCGGCCAAGTAGTTGGAGCCCAGACCTTGAGTCGGTGAGGAGGCGGACCGACTTGGTCGATGCCAACTCCCCGTCCTCCAGGCCGGCCACAGCCGCGAACGCCTCGCGCATGGCGGTCAGTTCTGCTCTTAGGCTGGAGCAGACCGCCCCTGCAGGAGCGCGCACGGTCTCTTCTCTGTTGAGGTGGTGGAACTGGATCAGCGCCTGCGCCGCCCTGTTCCGTCCGCCGCGAGCCGAGCCGTCCGACCAGATAGTGACGTCCGGGTGCGGGAGCTCTGCAATGGCTCGCAGGGCAGCTTCCCTGCGGACTGCAGGCGGGTCCGACCGGCGGGTGGCCACGGGCAGGTCCACCCTGAAGGTGATGCCGCTGCGGTGGCCCAGCCATGGCGGGTCGCAGCTGTAGAACGCCGAACCTGTAACACAATAGAATTGCAATTGTAACAAAGACCTGCATGGTCAGCACACATCTGTCATCTGCAGTGACTGTCATCCCAAGTTGGTATGAATTGGCACAAAGTTGGGTCATGGTAGCACTAGCAGACGTAGCACAAGCTGTTGTGATATGCCATACCGTAGGACTAGGTCGTAGGTTGTAAATTTTAGGTTTAAGGCTGTAGGTTGTAGGTCAGGTTAGGTAAGGTTTGGTTAGAAAGACCCATTCTCGTGCATCGGGCAGCTTGTGCTACATCTACCTTACCAATACCCAATTTGGATTCCCAAAATTGATGGCAAACAGGCTTTTTGTATAACAAGTGTGGTTAATTGTTCTAATCCCCGCTGCAATGTGAGGGTAACTGCTTTTCTACAATCACAAAATTTGAATTCATATAGGTAGGTGTTTACATGTTCAGAAAATGATACAAAATATGACACGATTATAGCTGCAACTGGATAATGGATACCAACCTCAACTAAAAGTTTCTGCAGCCTTATAACCTAACAAATGACTAAATTGCCAAAATAAATCCCTTAGTACAATAGCTTGACTCTAAAAAATAACAGAAATTTTGCATGCAGACCCTCTGAAATGGAGGGTTTATGAAAAGTAACAAAAATAAACATTCACCAATATCGGTTGGTTGGTTGGTTTGGGTTAAGCACCACATCCAGTGGACCAAGGTGCTAACCGGAACTCTCACGCTGTTCCAAGCGGTCAGGTAGCGGCAATGCCACGTGCATCGCCCGGGAATCGAACCTTCACCAATATCAATATGTTGTTATAAATTTCATATGTAGCATAAGCGCCAATACTGCCTTCATTTACAATGTTGCTACTGTTTTCCACTCACAAACGCTGCCCTCCGTGGACAGCAGCAGCAGCAGTGAAACGTCACCCGTGGTGTGACATCATCACCCATGACGTAATGGAAATCCAGTTGTTACCAAGGCCCTGTGTTGTGAGCGCAGGACGCAGTCATAAATCATAATAATATATCCTATTGTGAGTTGTAAGGACTGTTGTGTGCCACACAAAGATAGTTTAAAGCTCATATTTGTATACACTCCTGTCATAAGCAAATTTGAATTCAGCTCAGAGAAAAACTTGTAAAGTCAAACAAGAATTTGAATTGAAACAATGATGCTGATGCAAAAACTAGGTAAGTTAATTATTTCACTACTTGTCTTGTAGTCTGGTATGTGTTGTTGAGTGTCAGGTAATTGATTTGTTATTATTACAATGGGGTTGTGTTTTGGGTATCGGTAACCCTGGCGTCACCGGTAGCGTTTTCGTTCAAGGTTAAGGTTTCCTGTGTTACGCCGCCGTGCCAGGCCGAAGCATGCTGTGACATCACTGGGTAAGAGAAGACGTAGGGGAGAGTGGGGTAATTTGGCCGCTTTTTTTAGAAAACGATATAACTTAAAATTGACGACACATTTCTGCATTTTCTCAACGCTGGCAGGTGTCGCATTCATTTTACTTTACTGGACAGTGAACTTGAAATGATAGAGTAATTACTTATATTGAAATTGTGACGTATTACAAAGGTCTGCAAGGCGGCCAAATTGCCCCACTAGCAGGGTTATTTGGCCGGGGGTGTGGGGCAATTTGGCCGGTGTTAGTTTGCGGTCGGGATTTTCTGTTATATTGCGATTCAGCTTCAGATTCAGCAATGACGTGTGTCCCATGACGCATTTGCCGCATTTTGGAGGTTGGCTCAGGGGTCACAGGGGTCAAAATAGCCAAATTAGCGGCTCTAGATGCGATCACAGTTTTTTACGAATAACTTTTGAAGTAATCAAGCTATGCCAAAACTTCGAGTACCATCGTAATTCTCTCGTCAGTCCGCATCGAAAGATATATGTGTTGACCTTGCGAAGTCAAGGTCAAAGGTTGACCTCAGGTCACGTTGCATCAGGTCGCTTGACCTCAAGGTCACGTGATTTCAAGGTCATCATGCATATCATTCGATGCGCCTTGGCGAGCTGAACCGAATGAGACCATTTGTGCGGCTGTACCATTTTTATGTAAGGATTTATTAGCAAAAAACGTTTGGTAACCTTTGATGACGTCACATGCTCTTACAGTTGACCAATCGGAAGTAAGAATCAAAGTAGTCAAAGTTGGTCATGAATCATGTCATTTATGGTACAATTGACCATGAAAACTCGGCCGTCCCAGCATAGTGACCATGAGCGCACCGGCCAAGTTGCCCCGCTAGTCCCGGCCAAATTACCCCATATTGCCATTCTGAAATTTTTGTCTATAAAGTCATCGCGGCTTTACGGAATTAGATAAAATTGCTCTTGGAACCGCTGAACACCCCCAAGAACGGCGCTATAATGTCTGAATTCGTTTTTAGCCCAAATACTACATGTTATACAACTTTATAAACAGAGGTAAAAGTTACCATTTTCTAATGAAATTAACGTTTTATTAATTTTGAATAAAACTACGAGGGGCAAAGTTTTGACATTTGTCCTCCAGTTACTTCTACCCATGACAAATGAATTGAGACTAGAGTTATTTCACTCACTTTTATTAGACATCGGACAGGTGGGGGCGGCCAATTTACACCACCGGCCAAATTACCCCACTCTCCCCTACCACGCTATCAGTATCGACTGAGACTCACATAGACTCAGACCGACTCAGGCAGACTCAAACTGACTCGACCGACTCAAACCGATTCAGATCGACTCAGAACGACTCAAACTAACTCAGACCGACTCAACCGACTCAAATCGATTCTGATCGACTCAGACAGACTCAGAACGACTCAGAGAGACTCAGGCAGACTCAGACCGATTCAAATCGACTCAAACTGACTCAGACCGATTCAACCGACTCAAATAGATTCCGATCGACTCAGGCAGACTCGGAACGACTCAAACATACTCAGGCAGACTCAAACTGACTCGACCGACTCAAATCGATTCTGAACGACTCAGACAGACTCAGACAGACTCAGAACGACTCAGGCAGACTCAAACCGACTCAAATCGATTCCGAGCGACTCAAACTGACTCAGACCGACTCAGCCGACTCAAATCGATTCCGAGCGACTCAGACAGACTCAGAAGGACTCAGGCAGACTCAGACCGACTTAATCGACTCAAATCGATTCCGATCGACTCAGGCAGACTCAGAACGACTCAGGCAGACTCAAACCGACTCAGATCGATTCCGAGCGACTCAGACAGACTCAGAACGACTCAGGCAGACTCAGACAGACTCAGAACGACTCAAACTGACTCAGACCGACTCAAATCGATTCCGAGCGACTCAGATATACTCAAACCGACTCAGGCAGACTCAGACCGATTCAGATCGACTCAGACGGGCCCAAACCGACTCAGGCAGATTCAGACAGACTCAACCGACTCAAACCGATTCCGAGCGACTCAGTCAGACTCAGAACGACTCAAACTGACTCAGACAGACTCAACCGACTCAAATCGATTCCGAGCGACTCAGGCAGACTCAGACCGATTCAGATCGACTCAGACGGACCCAAACCGACTCAGGCAGATTCAGACAGACTCAACCGATTCAGATCGACTCAGAAAGACTCAGAACGACTCAGACAGACTCAGGTGGATTCAAACCGACTCAATCGACTCAAACCGATTCAGCTCGACTCAGACCGACTCAAAACGACTCAAACTGACTCAGATCGACTCAACCGACTCAAATCTGAGTCGATCTGAATCGGTTTAAGTCGGCTTGGTCGGTTTGAGTCTGCTTGAGTCTGCCTGAGTCGCTCTGGGTCTGTCTGAGTCGGTCGAAATCGATTTGAGTCGGTTGAGTCGGTCTGCGTCAGTTTGAGTCGTTCTGAGTCTATCTGAGTCGTTCTGAGTCTAACTGAGTCGGTCTGAGTCGAAGTTTGAGTCGGTCTGAGTCGATCTGATTCGGTTTGAGTCAGTCGAGTCAGTTTGAGTCTGCCTGAGTCGGTTTGAGTCTACCTGAGTCGTTCTGAGTCTGACTGCGTCGATCGGAATCGATTTGAGTCGGTTGAGTCTGCCTGAGTCGTTCTGAGTCTGTCTGAGTCGATCGGAATCGATTTGAGTCGGTTGAGTCGGTCTGAGTCTGTATGAGTCGATCTGATTCGGTTTGAGTCGGTCGAGTCAGTTTGTGTCTGCCTGAGTAGTTCTGAGTCTGTCTGCGTCGATCGGAATCGATTTGAGTCGGTTGAGTCTGCCTGAGTCGTTCTGAGTCAGTCTGAGTCGATCGGAATCGATTTGAGTCGGTTGAGTCGGTCTGAGTCAGTGTAAGTCCTTCTGGGTCTGTCTGAGTCGATCGGAATCGATTTGAGTCGGTCTGAGTCAGTTTGAGTCGTTCTGAGTCGGTTGAGTCGATCGGAGTCGATTGAGTCGGTCTGAGTCAATTTGAGTCGGTTTGAGTCAATCTGAATCGGTTTGAGTCGGTCGAGTCAGTTTGAGTCTGCCTGAGTCGGTTTGATTCTGTCTGAGTCGTTCTGAGTCGGTCTGAGTCGATCGGGATCGATTCGAGTCGGTTGAGTCGGTCTGAGTCAGTTTGAGTCGTTCTGAGTCGGTCTGAGTCGATCGGAATTTATTTGAGTCGGTAAATGAGCAAAAAACATGCAATCTTAAAACGCTCACCAAATCTACAGTTATCAAGCAATTTCAAAGTTCTTTATATGGTCTAGTAGACAAAAAGCGGCGCTACAAAACTGCCATCTTGGGTTTTCAAAATTTTGGGTTTTTGACCCCAATAAATTAAAAAAATTGATTTTTTTAGAAAAAAAATCCAAAATTTTCCGAATTCCGAAAAAAAACGGAATATATGTGATAGTCCCTGCGCTCTTCTATATACATACCAAATTTCAGATCGATATCTCGTTTTTTGGCCAAGTTATAGCGAAAAAAACTGTTCAAAAATGATGACGTCAATTTTTTTAACTCAAAATTTTTAGCGATTCTAGACCACGTACGGCAAAACAAAGACCACCATTGAACTCCCCGTGACGAGCTGCATCGATTCGATACCCATTTTATGCCAAAAATATTAACTTTGAAATTTGACCTAATTTGACCTGACCTTGACCTGACCTTGACCTGACATTGACCAAAACGTGACCTTAGCTGGCCCCAAAGGCTGCCTGACCCACATAATCGCATTTGTCATGTAAAATAGACCATAAAACATGTATCACACGACACTTTCATATTGTGACCCCCCGGAGACCTGACCTCTGTGACCTGACCTGATATCAGTGACCTCAAATAGCAAAACATGTGTTTGAAGTACATTTCTCCATCGATGATTTTCAATGAAATGCATTTTACTCGATTTTACAACGCATTTCTTGAAATGCCTGTAAACGGTGAAAATTGGACCTTTGACCTGACCTGTGACGTCATCGGTTTGACCTAGGTCAATAAAATTGGGTCACAAGGTAGTTTCCTGATAGGGCTATCCAACACCGTTTGCCGCTTGTCGCTAGGTTGCGTGGTTCTCGAGATCTAAGGGGGGGGGGGGGCAAAATGCCCCCCCCCCCAACAGGGCGCGTTGCTCGGCAGAGCCCAACGGGGCGCGAATACTGCAGTGGGTTCCTGCCCACTGCGGTATCGAGGGAATGAAAGCGCGGAAGACCTGGCGAAACAAGCGGCCGCCCTGCCCTCAAACGCCCGCTTGCTGACGGGGGCGGTTCATTGTGCGGTCTCGCATCAATGGCGCGACAACTGGTCCTAGTCACTATTCAAGCCACTCCTCGGGAGCACGCCGCCGCTCCCTATCCCTGGAGAGGACCGATAGGCCGCCGTTTCGGTGCATCGAATGAGGGCGGGCCACTGGGGTCCCTCGCTCCAGTACGTGCACCGAATCGGCTGTCCACTTATCAGTGTACCTGAGCTGAGTGAGCAGTGCCCAGACAAGCGGTGCCCTGCGGCGCTCTGCACCGTGAGCGGAGAAGAGGCTGATGTGCCGGAGCACGCGCTGCTCCGCTGCCCGGACCTCGCTGGCTCCCGCCAGCCTGGAACACACTGCTCCGCCGATTTTTGTGGCCCCGGAACTTACGGCTTGGGCTTTGTTTCACGGCATGAAGCTAGGGTGCGCTAAGAGTATTGAGGTATTGGGTTTCCAAATAAAAAAACTCATTCAGCTGCATCGAATCAATACCTATTTTATGCAAAACTATCAACTTTGAAATTTGACCTTTTTTGACCTGACCTTGACCTAACCTCCACCAGAAAGTGACCTAAACCGTACCTGGTGGTCTTATAACCAACACCATTGAGTTGGAAATGAAAAATTGGCCATAAAACATGCATCGCACAACCCAAGTAAAGTTGGGTTCATGTGCTGACCCTTGTTGACCTGACCTGTGACCTGGCCTGGTATTATCAGTGACCTTTAATAGCAACATATGTACTAGGCAACTGACGCCCTATCGCTGATTCTCGACAAAATGCGTTTTACTCGGTGTTATAGCGCTTTCCCTAGAAGCCCCGTGAACGGTGAAACATTTTATCTTTGACCTGACCTGTGATGTCATCGGTGACCCCGAGGTCAATGAAATTTGGTTTCCTTCGACAAATTTGACAGGGCTATCAAACGCCGTTTGAATTTTACGGATCCGTCCAGTAGCTTCGGAGATACGGGGGGGAGGGGGGCAAAAAATGCCCCCCTCCCTCCGCGTGGAAGATGGCCGAGAGGCCCACCGCCTGCCGGGTTAATTCAATGAATCCTTAACTAAGCATTGCTTATGGCACAAACCATGACATACAATTCAATCAGCAAAGAAGTACAATTCAAACTGGCTGTAGTAGATTCCCAAGTGACCTGACTTGGTGACGTAAGAGGCCTGAATCTTGTGTTTGTTGCTATTATGCTAAAATTTTAATGAAATCTTACGTTGCATTTCTAGCAAAATAACTGGTACCACGTTAATCTAAAACCTCAGTTCTTTGAATGGTTTGTAATTTTTTAGCAAGAGGATCAATGCTAGGGCATAATATTACAATGCTCGAGGTTAACTTTCATGACAATGCTAGCTGACCAATAGAATGCTTGAGGTATTGTCATGACATTGCTATGATTGCTGAGTGCTGACCAATGCTGTTCTTTTGTTGCAGCTCAACCTGCGCTTAGGCAGACGGTGAGAATGTCCAGTTCACTGGCTGACTATGCCCAGTACAAGACCCTGAATGTAACTCAGCCATCAGAGTATGTTGTTCACGTGGAAATGAATCGTCCAGAAAAGCTCAATGCCCTCAACAAGGAAATGTGGAAGTAAGTGTTCAGTATGGTGATGCAATCAAAACGAAGATGATTGATTACTTCTGTAAATGATGATGAGACCTTTTCAGCCTTGCAGTGAAACGCATTGAAAATGACTTGAAGAACTTTTAATTACTGTACTCAGATGCTAGTTAAGTTGACAAATGTATGCACTCTCAGCTAAGCCTGCATTCACTGGGTCTATCAGACTGATCCACCACATACTACATAGTTATAAGTGATGCCCACCACAGCAGGGCTGCAGTGCAGGGCTGTGGTGGCGATGCTAAAAAGCCATGCGGTGTTCAGTAGTCAGTACCATTTTCTGGCATACGATACCCGCTCACGAGTGTTCTCTCGCGGCACCCCGGCACCCAGTCCCGGTGACAGATGTGGCCCCAAGCTGACGGCTGTGCCGCGCCGCCCTGTCGCAGGGACCTGGGCGTGTGCTTCCAGCAGCTGCACGAGGACCCGGCGTGCCGCGCCGTGGTGCTCAGCGGCGCCGGCCGCCTCTTCTGCGCCGGTATCGACCTCTCCGACCTGGCAGCGCTCGGCGGCCTGGCCATGGGCGACGGAGACGCCGCCAGGAAGGCGTTCCAGATGCACCCCATCATCAAACGCTTCCAGGACTGGATCACCGACCTGGAACGGGTAGGTGGTGGTCGCGGGCAGCGGAACGTCTCCCGGCAGCTCACCGGAGGGTGGCTGCTTTGCGAGGTCAATTATTGTTTGTTGATGCAGATAACCGAGTCCGTTGGTAATGTCGCAACTCCAGAGTCCAGATTAGTGGTGTCATTTTCCCAAAAATGTCTGACCGATACCGACCGAAACCGAAATTTGGGAAAAATTTCCGACCGAATACCGACCGATAACATCCCAAGCCAAAATTTGACCGAAATTTGACCGAAGTTCTATTTGCTATTACTTTACCCAAAAATTAAGTTATTTGGTACATTCTAGTGGAAAATAATGGGAAATGGCATTTCAGTCCATGTTCAGTCAATTCTTAGCCACTGCAAAATACATTTTGTGGTAGAAGTTACATTGCAAAGTGTACACATGGATCTCAGCATTTCACATATTTGGTTAATTAGAATTGTCAAGAATCTACCATGGTCTATGTAATGTGGGGCCAACTGAGTCAAAATCAGCCTGCTTGTAGTTGTGGTTGGACAATGGGTGGCTGCTGCCTGCTTAGTGGGATGGCTTCTGAAGTTGCCAAAATGTGGCATCTCTTGTAGCCTTTGGGGGAAATTTTGCAACCTTTATCATTAACATCCCAATAAATTTCAGTAACTAGGCAAAAATGGAATACTCTCTCTTTTTGAAAATGGTTTCACTGGCAGGGTGACCGAAAGTGTCCGATTTTTGGGGGGCCTGACCGACCGATTACCGAATCGGTCAGCATATCTTTTCGGTAACCGATTTTTTCGGTAACCGATTGACACCACTAGTCCAGATGCTCATGAAATATAACTAATTATATACGGCAACTATGAAGAACGCATTTCCTTTAAAAAGTATTTGTTTATTGCCATTTTGCTGTTTTTTAGTCGTTTTCGACGATGTCGAAAGGTGCCGTTCTCCTTCATATCCACTGCGTGCATTATGCTGTCTGTACCCGCCGTCGTGTCCCCACTCTCGCTGTACCTCCCGCTGTACCTCCTGCTGTACCTCCCACTCTACCTCCTACTGTACCTCCCGCATTACCCCGCTTTACCTCCCGCTGTACCTTACCTCACCCCCGCTGTGCCAAACCGTACCTCCCGCTGTTCGTCACTGTACCTCCCGCTGTAACTTACCTCATCCCCGCTGTACCACACCTTACCTCCCGCTGTACCTCCCGCTGTACCTCCCGCAGTACCTCCCGCTGTACCTCCCGCTGTACCTCCCGCTGTACCTCCCGCTGTACCGTCCGCTGTACCTGACCGTACCTCCCGCTGACCTCCCGCTTTACCTCCCGCTGTACCTCACTGTACCTCCTGCTGTATATCACTGTACCTCCCGCTGTACCTTACCTCATCCCCGCTGTACCCTCCCGCTGTACCACACTGTACCTCCCAATGTACGGTTCTCCAGGGTATTAGTCGTAGGTCGCTCGGCGAGCGGGAGGGCAACCAGTTCCGCCCCTGTATCGCGTGACCCCTTGCTCCGCCCAGTTACGCACGAGCGTACTCCACGCCGCGTAGTAGCGTGGGGAGGGGAGGGTTAGAATGGTGACATGTGTAGAGGCTAGAACCGGTTTCCACCGCCATGCCACCGCCCAGCGACATGGAGCGGGGTCAGTGACCAGGGCGCAGGGAAAGGTCAGAGGTCAGCTTTAACGTAGAGCTTTGTGTTTCCCTCCCCTCCGTGTGTAACGACCGCACGACAGCGGCCGGCCGCCGATCAGGCTTGACATGTCAAGGTCACCAGCAGTCAACGGGCTCAGAGGGTTGGTCGAGTGCGAGTCCGTGGCTGACGACAGTCTCGACCATGTGCTATGGTGCCGATACACTAGCGTGGGTAATAAGTTTGTGTTCAGTGCATATGACTGCTGGGGCGTGTCCTCTTGATATGATGCTTTGTAACGTGTATGATACGCTTAAAACCTCGCTGGCAGTGGCCGAGAGGAGAGGGGGGAGGCGGTTGCCGCCTCCACATGTTTATTTTTGTTGATAGCTGCGAGAGCTGAAATTTGGCAAGCCTGACCTTTGATTCAAGCTGAATTTTTATGACAGCAGCTGTATTTTCACCCTCGCCCATATTGGTGTTTTGCCAGCGTCTATCGTAAAGAGGGGGAGGAGGGTCCGTTGGACCCCTTTGCCGTTCAGCCCCTAATCGAGCTAGAGCTTCGCGGAAAAAGAGCGTGTTGCCCGTGACGAGAGGAGGCCGATGATACCCAATTTTAACCCTCGCCGGCACAGGGGGGTTGATGCACCCCCCCCAAGGTTTTTCGCGAATAACTCACGTAAAAAGCGGCCGATCGCGACGAAACTTTCAGTACCCTCGCATTGATCAATTTTACACCTACCCTGAAAATTTTTTGACCCTGACCCAAATGACCTTTGACCTGTGACCTCTTTTCCGAGACCATGTTTGGCCGGAATCGCGATTTGGCGTATGTCGGCTCGCATTAGCCGCGCGTTTGCAAGCTTTTCGTGGTTTCAAACGTTCAAACATGTGATTTGATGTTGCTCCCATACATTAGGGTGGGTTTCAAGGTCAGCTGAAGGTCAGGTCAGGTCATTGACCTTTGGTGACCTCGGGTGACCTCGGTTCACTTTTTCGAGTTTTACATGCTTCTAGGCTAGTTTTTGGAGCTGAATTCGAATTTAGCAACCATTTGAACATTTACGAAGTAGTTTTGGTGCCTTCGTAACATGTTACGAAGCTGTCAGAGGCGGTTGACACGTATTACGAATACCCGTCACAACCCCTACCGGTTGACCTGACCTGACCTGACCCGACCTGGTCTAAATGCTTAAAGACATCATCTCTGATCAAAACTAATACGATATTCGTGATCAGCACCCCGGAAAACCACATAGCAGCCACACTTTACGACTTTCTAACAGGTCCCGATTTTCCCGGTTTTTGGGTCATTGACCTGACCTGGAAGGTCACCCGATGACCTAGGACCTTAAAACTTGGTATCATCGGCTTCCTCTCGTGACGGGGAACACGCTCGTTTTTTTTCCGCGAAGCTCTAGCTCGATCAGGGGCCAAACGCGAGGGGGGGGGTCGTACCAACCCCCCTTGTGCCGTCGAAGGACGCAAAATGGCCTGTGCCGGCGAGGGTTAAGGTCGATTGGTTGACAGGTCAATATAACTCAAAAGTCGGGGAATCGGGACCTGTCAGAGCTTCGTAAAGTGAAGCTGTTACAGGGTTTTGCGGGGTGCTGATCACGAAATTCAAGTTAGTTTTGATCACAGATGATGTTTTCGTGCATTTAGGCCAGGTCGGGTCAGGTCAGGTCAGGTCACATGTTACGAGTGAACCAAAACTACTTCTTAAATGTTCAAATGGTTTCTAAATGCGAAATCAACTCCAAAATCTACCCTAGAAACATGTAGAATTCGAAGCAGTTAACAAAGGTCATCAAAGGTCAGTGACCTGACTGATCTTCACGTGACCTTGATACCCACTAGTATCCATGCGATCAACATCCTTTCACATGTTTGATCGCTTAAAGTCACAAAAAGACAATAAAACGCGTTCTACTCGAAATACGCCAAAACGCGATTCCGGCCAAACATGGTCTCGGAAAACATGTCACAAGTCAAAGGTCTTTTGAGTCAGGGTCATGCAAATTATAGGGTAGGCGTAATATTGAATAACTCGAGGGTACTGAAAGTTTCGCCGCAATCAGCCGCTTTTTGCGCGAGTTATTTGCGAAAAACTGAGGGTAGGAGGTCTGTTCGACACCCTCCTACAAGTGCCAAGGTTAAGGTCAGGCCGTTGACCAATGGCGTCAAAAGTGAACCTCTGTAAGGCCCCAAAATGTCGCGACGTCGCAGCACCCTTAGTGCCAGGGGACTTTTCAACGGGGAATGAAGCTTATATGATTTAGTGCTATCTCCCAGAGGCCTCACAACTTGTGTGTAGCTATCTCGTATTTTTCTTAAGAGTCACCTGAAGTCAGGTCGGTCACGCATGACGCAACCTCACGATTATTAATCAATTGGGAAATATGAAAACTGTTATTTTGGCGCCGGGAGCCATCTACAGCTGTCTCAAGCGCATGAATTAGCGATTTTATACAATTTTTGCAAGCCCCAGCATTCACTTTTCCATTCTTAAAGTTAGGCGACTTCATTTATGACGTCACTAAGGTCACAAGAGATTTCACCAAAAAGTCCCGATCAAATTGAGCTAGCGAGTCGGGAAGCCACCAGTGAACTTGTAAGGACCTACCGCATCGAAGAAGCGATATGACCTCCTTGAGTCAGCCTCGTGGCCTGAGTGGCTCTGCCCTGACATGACCTGAGGTAAACACCTTAAATTGACCTAAACAAAAACAAAACGTCAACTATTCGACGCGTTTGAGCATGCAAAACTCTTGGCTCTGTAACCACTTAAGGTGAAGTTGTTTACCAAAAACCGATCCCGCGACTTGGAGCACTTATACTGACCTCAGAGTTTATCGGTGGACCTGAGACATTCAACTCGGGTACCAGTTGCTGCATCTCATACGACGCACGCGCTCAGTTTTATCCGCAAGGCGCTAGCTCAATTAGGGGCAAAAAGACGAAGAGGGGTCGTAATCGCCCCCCCCCCCCGTCGGCCGGGGTATATGCAGAAAACCCAAAATTCCGTTGAAGGTTAAGCACTGAATATTATGATGCGAGAAGGTATAGGTAAAAACAAGTATGCACACGAGCGGATGTGAATTAAACTGTGTTTGAGGTATGCCTTTTTTATTATACATTCGATTTGCTTTAGTTATTGGTAAATGGTAAGAACAGATACAACCCAGAAGAGCGCCCCTGAAGAAAAGGTGGCGACTGACCGTGGGTCCAAGGTCAGTCGGGGACCTCTAAGTTCGGATCAAGCGCTGCATGGTAGGGTTAAAACTTAATAAATAAAAATTTTTGGGAGCAAACAAGCATCCCGATTTTGGCAGCATCGTCATGCTTTGTCACGGCACTCATCCACTCCCTCGGCCGAA